ACAGACAGGTCAGCGAGGGGAGGCTCGGGTCACACAGGTGTTCAACAGCATCACAGGGCTTGCGAGGCCAGACCGACCTGGGTTTTAACCCAGTTTCCATTCACTGGGCAATTGCGACCACCTTTGTGAGCCTTGGTCCCCTTATCAGAGGTTATAGCGGTCTGTTCTGTATCGAGCTGTGAGGAGAATGAACTGAGGGCCCGATCCACCCCATGCGCAAGGCCCCATCTAGACACTAGATTCCACCAGCTTGTGCCACCTACATGACTACCCTGGGAGCCAGACAGTTAGTGACCCCATTTTACAGATGAGGACACTGATCCCAGAAGAGCTGAGAAGCACTGCACTTGCTAGGATGAGAAACTGGGCCTGGAATGTCTGGGCCAAAATGGGCTGCTGAGAAAGGAGTAGAACATCCTCCCGTGGTCTGATTCTCACCCTGTTCATTGTCTTTGAGCTATTTTGCTCCTCTTTGGTAAGTAACTCATCAGCATGCACACTCTGTCTTGTCTGGTAGAATTCACTTCCCTCCCTTTTGTGGAGAAACTAGCTTTACCTCCATTTCTAATTCAGTTCTTTTAGTCCATATGAATTCGTGTCTTTTTGACTTTTTCTTTGAACCGGCTCTAACATCTGTCTGATTCCCTCATTGTTTAACAAGTAAAATAACGTCTTTAACACATGCTCCCTTCCAGATATGTATGAAAATCAGGATTTTACCTTTTTCTGAAAATGACCTTTAACAGGGCTGTAGAAATCAATGCTAGATCCTTCTGGCAATAGCCCTGTAAATCGACCTTCCCATTGCCCCTTGCTTACCTCCAGTGCTCAGGACTCAGTGCTGCCATGGGCATTTTCTAGATGATGCTCCTATGGGACGCTACTTATTATCCTTCACTTTACAAATGAGGAAACTAGGGCTCAGAGAGGCAGAGCAATTTAGCCCAGGTTACACAGCTAACGCCAAACCTTTCTTCCTCCGAAGCTCGTGTGTGTGTGTGTGTGTGTGTGTCCTGCCTATTTGACTACATTGTAACTCCAGCTCCAGGTGGAGTCCAAAGAATACATTTGGAAATTGCCCAGTGTGTGTTGGGGGTCCAGGTGGTGCTGGGGTTAAAAAGCAGGTTCCAGAGGCCTTGGCAGGTCGCTCAATCTCAAGGGAATGAAGCTGCAGCATTATAGTTGGTGGTGTCTTTGACTCCTCCAAATCTGAAAGAATGGCCCAGGCCTCTGCCCCTCCTGACATCTCCCTACTAAGAAACATGCCCAAAGTCAAACCACTTGTAAGTGATAGAGCCAGGATTTGAACCCAAGAAGTCTGAGCTTGCACGCTGTGGTCTTCAACATCTGGACAGAAACCCAAGTTTGTTCTTCTCAGCTTTGTGACCCTGGGCACGTTATTGAACCCCTCTGAGCTCCTCAACCTTTCACCAAGTAGTTAAGAAAATGGAATTGGAGAACGTAAGCTGAGTGCCAGTTACATGGTAAATCCTCAATAAATAGCAGCTGCTTTCTAAGGGCTCATTAGCTCAAATGATGAGCCACTGCTTAGGAGCCCTCGCCATGGGTCAGGCACCATGGGAGGTACTTTAGTGACATCATCCCCAGGAATCTTCTGGACAACCCCACCGGAGACACCATTATAATCCCTACTTGACAATTTGATAAGTCATCTGCCCCAAGTTGCACAGAGAGTAAGTACTGGGACTGAGATGTAAACCAAGGTTGCCTGACTCCAAGATCTAGACACTTGTCCAATCTGTGCATTTGTTCATTTATTTGTTGATTCAACAAATATTAATTGGGAACCACTAGGTATACCAAGCACTGTTCTAAGAGCTGGAGGGGCAGCAGTGAACCAAACAGATGCCATCCCTGCACTCATGAAGCTGATGCTCTAGTTAGGGGAGCAATAGGCAAAGCTTCTGGCCTCTTAAGATGAGGCTGGTCACCCCTGCCACCTGCCACACCAGGTGGGGCAAGGGCCTGATGGGACTTTGGGGCTGGGACTAGACGTGGCTGAGGCAGGGGGGCAGGGGAGAGGATCAGGACCAAGTCTGAGAAAGGATGGATACAAAGATGCCTTCGTGAAGGAGAATGGCCTCAGAAAGGAGCAGAACAGACCCTCTGACCACTGGGACTGGGGTTCCCTGAGGACAGTCTCCCCTTGGGGTCAACAGTGCACAGAGCTACAAGCAGGCATTTCCGTGCGTGAAAATTCTGACCACATTGAGGACACAGCCTGCTGTGGGGTCCCCAGTCTAAGGCTCCCCTGAACCTCCCCTTAGAAAGAGCACAAGGGAGATAAGCACCTCACCCTGCCTGGTTTCCCTACGTGGGCATTTGGGTGGGCCCAGGCGCCCTCTTGTGGCTTCTCTTGTCTCTGCATGGGCCCTCCTCGCGTCCCTGTGGTTGGAGAGGCTTCCCTTGCTTAGACCATTTCTCTGTCCCCAGCCTATACCCTTTCCCCTGTTCCCAGCCTTCCCAGCCTCCAGCTGAAGTCTGAAAAACTCAGTCACAACTCTCTCACTTTCTCCTGTGCAGACCTCAGAACCTTGAGGTTCTCCAGCAAACCCCTTCAATGCTATCTCGGGGCATAGCCATGTGGCGGTTTACTGTATAGACATACCATCTGGTCCAAATCCTGACTGCATCACTTAGGAGCAATTGTACAACCTTACTGTGCCTTACTCTTCTCACTTTAAAAATGAAGTTCATAATAGTTTCTACCTTAAAGAGTGATGGGAATTAAATAAGATAGTATTGGTCAATTTGTCTGTCAGAGCCTCAATACCATCCCCGTCCTGCCTGCCCTTTTCCAGAATGGCCTGCCCTTTTCCAGAATGACTTGTCGGCAGGATTCCCCGGGTTAGATCCAGGCAATGGGAGGCAGCAGAAGCACCTTATTGCTTCTCCAATAGCCGTGGATCCAGAGTTTCTTTTCAGTTTTGTAGCCACCTCTGCAGATTTTCCCCTGAATACTGCCTTAGGACAAGAGGCAGCTGTGATCATTGCTGGTGCTCTCCTGCAGTTCCTGCAACTCTCTAAAAGCTAGAGGCAGCTTTCCCTAATCTTTACATTCCAATCCATCCAATGGGTTCCCGTACTGAACACTATTAATCATGGAGGGCTTCCTGGAGGAGGTGAGGTTGTTAGAATGATGCTAGGCCAAAAAAGAAGAAGGCTTCCAGTGCTGAATAATTCCATCTCAGTGCCCATTTGGGCCCTGCCCCTCCGCTCACCTCTTCACAGTTTCCAGGGAGACAGTTTCCAGGGAGCTTGGAATCCTCACATTGCTGTCACTTGGCAACCAGGAGCTGGTGGCTGCAGCCACCTCCCATGTTCCTTTCAACATCCTGGGCCCTTGCCCTTATCCCTGGCATGGGCTCTGCACTGCCCAGGTAGCGAGGGCCCAGCTGGGGAAGCACCTTCTACCTGCTTCCTTTCTCAGCTAATCACAGGCCTCACGGGGACAACTGAGACTCTTGTCGATGGTGGTAAGTGCCCAGAAAGTGCTGGGTGGACCAGGGGCAGGACACAGACAACCCTCTGGTCCCAGAGGACCCTCTCTTTTGTTCTCATCAATGGAGGACCCTGGAGTTCATGGGTGGATGGAACACAGTACTGGCCCAAAGGGCACACAGCCTAGTGCAAGGGACAGAGCTTACCTCATTCTTGTGATATACAGATGGTAGTGACTACTCCGGCTGGGTCACAGACTAGCAAGGCGCGGCTCACCCTTGGGGGTCGGGGTGGGGGAGCTGGGGAATAGCAGAGGCCATGGTGTCCACCTCACTCCTTAGCAGTCATTTCTAAGCACCAAAGGCCACTTCCTCTAAACTCTGCAATTCTCTACCTGAGGGTTTTTCATGCCCCCAGAAGCACTCCTCAACCAGGGAGTGAGTGCAAAAAACCACCTTAATTCTCTCACCCTCAGTTGGGACAAGTCTGGGAAATGTGTCTCCCAGAGTTGCTGGACAGGACTGAGCTCAGGTGCCCAGAGGTACCTGGCTTGATCACATAACACCTATTGGTCACTTCCTAGTCTCCCTTCCCCGCCATCTTGCTGCTATTTCCTGGAATCAGCTCCCAAATAAACCACTCAAATCCCTGTCTCATGTTGGCTTCTGAGGGATGACTAATGCAGGGATGATGATGTATTATAGGGAACCAAAGTTCTGTGAGACTCAAGCTATAACTGTATGCAAAGCAGTGGCTGAACCAAGGGACCGGTGGGGGAGCTCTCTGCCCAGGTACAGGCAATGATGGGGGTGTCTTGGCTGTAAAAAAGTTAAAAGCAGTAAGAAAACTGGCCAGTCTGCTTTTTATTATAAACCAGCCATTCTATTAAGCTTCAATTATAAAATTCTCCTCCCCGTTGAGGTTGATGGCTCTTGCTGTCCCATGCCTGCTCCTTGGCACCCCACTGATGCCAACTGCACTGAGGACAGAGAAATTGTGGGCAGAGGAGATGGGGGAAGGTCTCACTCAGGAGGCAGCATTGATCCCTTCATCTCACAGGACTAGCCGCATTTCACACCTTCATGCCTTTGCGTGGGCCAGTGCCTTCTACGGGACTACTTTTGTGCCTCAATTCCCTCCCACTCTTCCATTATGGTTCAGTGTCACTGGGCATCCCCTCCTCCAAGAAGCCCTCCCTGACTCCTAGCCTGAATTAGATGCCACCTCTGGGCTTGCACGGACCTCCAAGTGCCCCTATGTCATCCCGTTCTGCGGATGGGAAGTCTGTGGCTCAGACAAGGTGGCCTCTCTTCGCGACCTAATTTAACATCCGGCCTGTGGCGGTCCCTCCAGCGACCTGGAAAAAGGAGATTCCCGCTCTAAAGAGCCCCGCCCCGCCTGCGAGCTGCCTGGCGGAACCTTTAAGTGCCCCGCTCCAGTTTCCAGCCGGCGCATTCGCGCTACTGAGCCGGCGCTTGGAGCTACTTCCGGCGGCCGCGCTCCGCCCCCGGGCGTCTCCATTTTGGCCGCAGGTGGGGCCTGGGCCTGGGCGGGTGGAGTAGCGGAGGGTAGTCCTCAGCAGTCGCAGGAGCCAGTCGGCTTACGGCACTGTCTCCCTTCCTTCCTCCACCCGCAGGAGCCGAGGGCGCCCATGGCGGGCTTGGAAGTACTGTACGCATCGGCGGCGCCGGCCATCACCTGCGCGCAGGACGCTTTCATCTGCTTTCTGCACTGGGAGGTGGTGACGCACGGCTACTACGCCTTGGGTGTCGGCGACCAGGTACTCCAGAGAGCCGGCCCGGGGCCAGGGTGGTGGGGTGAGGTGTCTTCTGCCGAGATCCAAGGACCGGAGCTCTGGGCCGGAGCGCCTGACGCTCCCCCGCCCGAGTCCCGGCCCTGGGGCTTCTGGCACCTTCGGTTTGGTGTGCGGGTCGGGGAGCTGCTCTACTGGCCAGGCCCAGCGCCCCTCACAACACAGCTGGGGCAACGTGATTTGGAAACCCAAGAACAAAAGCTCGCTTCGGCACAGCCTGGCAGTCTCCCAGGCCCGGATCGTGTGGACCTGACACGAAACGGGGGCGTAGCTCCCCTGAGCACTCCTCACCTGCCTGAACTCCGCCGAGCTCCTTCCCACACAGCGACGGGGGCGGTACTCAATATTGTATTCGGGCCTCCACCGGATAATCTGAATCCAAGCACGCTTATACGGGTGATCTTTGATCTGTTCAGCCGCCCTCAGGGACCCTTTCTTTACTCCTCAGCACGGGCCCAGAGAGCACACACACTTTTCACCTTTTACTGAAGGGCCCAGTGCAGCCCACTCACCGCTGTCATCCCCAGCTCAGGTTCTGGGAAACAGCCACTGTGCCGCACCCCCACCCCCCACAGGTACACCCCTGCACCCTGGATGTGAGAGCCAGCTAAGGTTACCTCCCCAACTGCTGCCCCTACAGGGTCAGCCCCTCCCGCTCTCCCATCCTCAGGCTCTGCCTCTTAGAGCTGGGGACCTTGTCGTCACACCCACAGAGCCCCAGGACTGCTGGGCCCTGCCTACTGCATAATTCTTCGGGGGAGCCTTTGTTCATCTTCCATGCCCCTTCCCTGTGACATTCACCCTTTACATCATCCTGCACATTAGCTTCCTGGGAGAACTGGGCCTGGCCCCCTTTCTGCCCCTTCAGTTCTCTTCTACTTCATCAGAGAAAATATCCTCCCAGCCACACACCCCACATACACGCAGGATTCCCAGCCTGACCCTCACTGTTGCCTTCTCACCCTCAATCTGCATCAGCTCTGGGGAGTAGGGCATCTCACCCCTTGCATCTCTTGTGATGAGATTTTAACCTTACTCTCATTTCTAACTGCTTCAGTTCTAACTCCCTAATCCTTTCTTAGTTTTTCAGATGTACATCCAGCATCTTAAGTTTTCCTCTCCTGACACAGAGCCTTAAGGATCCCTCCTCAAACACAGTTTACACATCCCGAGCCCTGAGAGCCAGGCACTCCCTTCCATTCCTTGCTGCCCCATTCCTTTGTCCTTTAGAGCAGTGAGCAAGACCACCACCTCCTCTCACGCTTAATGCCCACCAACAGGAGTCACATCAGAAGGACAAGAACTGTCATGGATATCTGGCTCTTTTTTTTTTTTCCTCGTCCCAGACCTCAAGTATCTCACAGGAACCCCAGATACACCCTTAGCATGCCCCTCCAGGCTCACACATACTTGTTCCCTCATGTGGAATCTAAGACTGGTTATAAGGCTGGAAAAGAAGGGGACTCACATACACACCTGGAAGCAGGAACCACATTTTCCTCCCAGATAGCTCTGTTCTTGGCCTTTCTGTCCATCCTGCACTACATTCCACTTACCCTGCCTTTCAACATCTCAGGCCTTGGAACCCGGTAGAGATGGGGTCTCCACCCACGAGTATTGGGCTCCTGCTCCAGTGTATAGTGTTCCCAACAGAAACTTTGTTTCCTCACTTGCCCCCACTTCACCTTTCCAATCCTGAATGACTCTTTCACTTGCCCCTGTCATTTCATTTCAGCTTTGCCTGGGAAGTCTAGGAAGCTGATGTGTAGAATGGCATGGAGTGCAGTGGAATTGGAGAGGGGAGGAAGACTTACTTGGCCCTGCCCTTGGGTCTCGTCCATGGGCCCTCAGTTCCCCCCACCCTTTGCCCTGTCCTTCAGATATAACGGGTCTGCCCTGTTCTCTGCCCCTCCTCATGGACCTCACCTTGTTTACTCCCAGCTTGCTATTTCTGCTCTGACACAGTTGGAATCTCTCGCCCCAGAACAGGAACTTCTTATCGAGGGCCTGTGCGACTCCCTCTCTTCTCCCCACTTCACAGGACATACCAACACTACATACAGATCTGCTGTCACCACTCGTCCCTTCACACACCTCTCCCCAGCTCTGAATTCTGACAGCTTAGGGACATCAGTTCATATAGGTCATTGCCTCCTTTGGCATCATCCCCTTGCCAAATACTCTAGGCCCCAGTTTTTCAGGTGAAATGTGCAGAAGGAATACAATCTCATTTTAGTACAGGTTTTAAAAAAAGATCCTTGCCTGATTCCTAAAGGTCCATCTAATTCCACTCTGTGGTGCCACCTGTTGAGATCATGCAGGCCAGAAAAAGACGCCGGCCCCAGATGTCATGCAGGAGGCCAAGGAGAATGGGGAGGAGGGTTTTGAAAGGCACTAACCACTGTCCATGTGTCCACCCCAGCGCTAAATCATGCATGCCCTCTGGGGCTGGGTGTTTGTACTGCTCTCTGGTGTGTCTTTTTGCTTCTGTGCACTTTCCCTGAAGTGCTGCTCAAGCTCAGGTTGCACTTGTCCTCCTCTGACTTACGCTGCTGAGTCAACTTTCATGGGAGTAGAAGCCCTTTAGAGAGGCATCTATTAGTTTATTTAAGAGAGGGTTTAATTTTCTGTCCTGGGACCAGCAGACTCCGCTGAGACCAAGAGTGTTTGCCACGCTCAGAGAATGTTTATGTTGCCTCTCCAGCCACCTCCTTGTAGGGGTGATAAGGAGAGAGGAAGGTCCCAGAAGTGTGTGCTTCATCATATAGTATATTGACAGTTAAATAGAAAGCTAAATAGTCTGTTTTTCTCTTTGGTTTTATCTCCTGTTGTGCAGGGCAGTTGTGTATGTAAAACTCGGTTAGAAGAGCAATGAGGCCACTGGCTTCAATAAAAATCCAATATTTGAATTTGGATTACTTTTTTGGAGTTAGTACCATTCCTCCTAAGAGCTTTACAGAGGTGTCAAGTGAGTTAGGTGGCAAGGGGTTAGAGATGGCTATAGATACAGGTTTGAGAATTTTGTTTTCTTTTGTAGGAATCTAAAGGTTATGACAAAAGAGAGGAAATGCCCAAAGTGATCTGTTTGTGTTTCTTTGAGTGCATTTTAGCCCAGAGACCCAGGGATGAACTCATGGCCACTGAAGAATGCTTCCAGCCCCAGGATGTTGCCTAAGTGGACAGCTATCCTTATTTTCTTGGGGCCAGTCTAGTGGATCTGGCTGGGAAAAATCTCCAGCCATAGACCAAGCAGCCAGGAGCTCTGAATGCCAAACCCAGCTCTGCATCTGACTTACTGTGACCTTAGGCAATTCTCAGCCCCTCTGAGCCCTTAAATTTTTCATCTGAGGGTATTAAACTACACAGCCATATGCTTTGGCTACTTTCCAGTTGCAGCTTTCTGGGGGGCCTGATATTTGATGTCAGGGCCTAGAACGCAGTTGAAATGCCAAATCTGGCCTGTTATCACCAGGGCCAGTCCCTCTTGATCCCACCTCTTTTCCCCATATCAGGGCAGCCCTTGGGCTGGGACCATCAGTTCCCCTGCAACAAGAGGTGTCAGCCTCATCTGACCCCAGGGTTCTCTCTTGCCCTAGAAGCCAGAGTCTGTGGAAGAGTGAGCAGACCAAATTACCATATTCCAAGGAAAAATTCTGGTGGGTTAAATGCTGTATGTAGAGGATATACATATAAGTTCAAAGGCCTCTGACAGAACAAAGATAAGGCACGTTATCAAAATCTTAGCTTCCAAAGTAAACCTTAAATCCACTAAACCTGTTAACAGGAAATGTACCCAGTTGGAAGTGAGGGATTGTTTCTCTTTCTCACTTGGCAGACTGGTTTGATTCGTTTCATTTTTCTTTTTTGTCACTCTCGTTTCTTTGCTTCAGGCTTGTGAGTTTCCTTGTCATCCAGCCAGCTTTTAAACCATGGCAGTTGCAACATCTTGAATTGTATTTGGGACCACTTCCCCCATTGGATTCCTGAGCACCAAGCGGGTGACCAAAGTGGAGAGACCCACGATTCTTTGCTCTTGGCCTCCCATTGTCCTTGATGTATGTAAAGGCTGTGGTGCTGGACCTTTGTCTTTTGCTGTTGTTCTTCATCTTTGGTCCAGTTCCTCCCACCATATTCTCCTGAGTGCAGAGCTTCCCAATCCACTTGCTCCATGTTTAGCCATATAAATCCGTATCTATGAAAAAATATATAGATTACTTTTGTGTGTTTTAAAAAAAATTTTTACATAAATGGTACCAGGCTGTAGATTTCATTTTTTCTTAACTTCTATTAAGTTTTTTATGTATATATAAAATTTTTTTTTAAGTAGGCTCCATGCCCAGCGTGGAGCCCAACACGGGGCTTGAACTCATGACCCTGAGATCAAGAGATGAAGACCTGAGCTGAAATCAGGAGTTGGGCACCCAATAGACTAAGCCATGCAAGCGCCCTTTAAGTTATATTTTAAGTTTTATTTTTTACCTTTATCTGTGATGCTACAATTTGATCTAGTTTGTTCCTTCTAACTCCTATGTAGTATCCCACTGTGAGCATATTTTTTCATTTCACCTTCATGTTGATGTTCTGACACAGTTGTGATGAAGATCCCTTGTCATGTCCCCTGTGCCTTTGTGCACAGAGTTTCCTCCAGGAATGGAGGTTGGGGTCACAGGGTGTCCACTTACCTCAGTGCGCACCACATGCTGCCAGACTGCTTTCCAGAGGGTTTGCAGCAGTGTAAGTGGCCACCTGCAGTGTCTGAGGGTCCCCACACTCACATGAACAAAAATGCAGAAATGGGTAATACTGGTGTGACGGGTGTAACACGGAACCTCATCCTTTCAGCCTGCACTTGTCTTGAGTGCTGGTGAAGTTGAATGGCCCTCTATATACTGTTATCTGCTCTTTGGCTTGTTCATATCTTCTGCCAGTTTTTCAAGTGGGTTCCCAATTTTTATTGTTCATTTTCCAGGCATTCCCTTAATGTGCTAGTTATTCATTCTTTTTCATCTGTAGCTATGGCAAACATCTTGTCCTAGCCTGTGGCTGCCTGTTAATGTTGCCGTGTCTGTTGTTGAACAGAAGCGTCCAATTTGGAACAGTCTCAAAGACAGTTCTTTTTTTCTTTTGTGGATCTTAAGAAATCTTTCCCCACCTAGAAATCACTCTATTACTTTTTCCTGTAGTTTAAAAACGATTTCTCAAACTTTAGTGTGTAAAAGGAAAGCCCTAGGATTGTTTAAAAGGAAAAAGAAGACCTCACACCTCACAGTCATGCATTTTTACACCCACCAGGAGGGCAAAAATTTTTAAATTGGACAGTGACAATGTTGCTGGCCACATGGAACTGCGAGGACTCTCATACAGTGTTGGTGGAAGTATAAACCCGTACCTCTTTGGAAGACAGTTTGACTTTATCTTATAAATTAAAAGTTCTTTTCCCACACGTACGCTATAGAAATGCATCCACCTGTGTCCTAGCAGAGGTATACACAAATGTTCACAGCAGCAGCGTTTGTAACAGCGGACCTGTACACGGTCCATATAGGCATCAGCAGGCGAGCGTGTGCCTGGCAGTGTGCTCGAACACCACCACCCCGTACAGCTGTGAACTGTGCTGCGTGGAGCGCCATATAGTGCACCATACGTGGTTAAATGTGTTGACACAGCGAAATCTTACAATAACTGACAAAAAAGGAAGCGATAAAGGTGATGCCATTTATATAAATTCAAACACATGTGAAGCAATATATTTTTAGGGTTGTATGTATAGTAATACAGCAAGCAGGGAAAGTAGAGACATTTTAAAAAATACAGAGAAGCGATTACCCATGAGGGGAATAAGCGAGATTCATTAGGAGTACCCTGCTGGAGGCTTTGGCGGTGGCGGTGATCTCTTAAGCAGGTGGCACATAGGTGTTCACTGATGTTTTATCTTGTACATATGCTCCATTTTGTGTGTGTATGAAAATTGTTCATTATTTTTGTGAAACCACTACAGTAGTCTGGAGGGGAGTACGCTAGAATCTTTATTTTTAGTCAACACTTTGGTGATCCTCTTGCAGATGGTCCGGGTTCTGAACTTAGAAAAACACCATCCTAGAATTTCGCAGTATCCCTTCAGGTGACTGGCGAGGAGATTCTTATCAAACCAAGGCTGCAGATTCTGGACAGGTTCCAGTACTATGTCATGAAGGCAGTCAGCTACAAGGGAGGGAGCACTGGAGCCGGAGTCCAGAGACTGGGTCCCAGACCTCTAACTTGGACATTTTCTTTCTCTTGACTTCCATGTCCTCATCTGTGAAATGAGGCAGTGGGATTAGATTGTCCTCAAGGCCCTTCATAGCTCTGTGTTGAGCTATGAAGATCTTCCTTCTCTCAACCCTGGTGTCTTCTCAGCCAGGTCCCAGTGATAAGAAATCAGAACTGCTGCCGGTCGAATGGAATAGCAATAAAGACCTGTATGTCCTCCGGTATGAGTCTAAGGATGGGTCCAGAAAGCTCCTTGTGAAGGCTGTCACCGTGGAGAACAGCATGATCATTAATGTGCTGGTGAGTCTCAGGGACATGTTGGCATCTGCTGGTGGGAGCGGACATTGGGATCACCTTTGTGCAGCCCGTTTAACAGTACAGATCAAGAGCCTTAAATATTTATGAGGACTTTACCCAGTGACCCCACTTGTGGAACCAAGACAGGAGTCCTCCATATAGAAAAGCTTTGTGCTCAAAGATGTTCACCTTCTGGTATTATCAAGGGAGGGACTTCATCACAGGGGAATAATTACGTAATTTAGGGTAAATCCTTACGGTAACAACAGGGATGGAAAAAAGCTTACTGTAGGCCAAGGGCTTGTTTTAGTTCTTTAGATAAGCCTAGCTCCCTGCTATCCTGGCGCCCTTACAGTTCTCATTTCCAGGGAGGGAAAACTCTTCCCCACACCATGGACTGCCTCACGCACACCCTCCTCCCTTCAGCCCCTGCTAATTCCTTCTCATTTTTCACTTCCTCAAAAAGTATAGTCCTGACGACCTACTCTCACCTGCCAGAAAAATCTGAACTACGCCTCCCTACTTCATCATTTTATTTCCTTGCTGGTCCTTACCACAATTATGTACTTAGTTGTTCTTTGGTTTGATGTTTGTCTTCTGCCACTGGACTATAAGCACCCCAAGGGCAATGACTCTCTTGTTAAGTGTGTCCTGGTTGTCCCTGTGTGCTCATATAAAAGTAGCATGCAGTCTGTATTGCACTGTACCTGGCTGTTTTCACTCAATATCTTTTGGAGGTCTTTACATGGGAATGCATATAGATATACCTTATTCATTTTAACTACTATGTAGTATTCTGTAATACCGTAATTTATTTATCCCTTTCTGGGTTTTTTCCCTTTATTTAAATTCAGTTTAGTTAACATATACTGTATTATTAGTTTCAGGGGTAGAATTCAGTGATTTATCAGTTGTGTATAACACTCAGTGCTCATTACATCAAGTGCCCCCCTTAATGCCCGTCGCCCCGTTACCCCATCCCCCCACCGACCTCCCCTCCAGCAACCCTCAGTTTATTCCCTAGAGTTAAGAGTTCTTACGGTTTGCCTCCCACTCTGTTTTTATCTTATTTTTCCTTCTCTTTCCTTGTGTTCATCTTACCCCTTTCCGTTTTGACGAACATTTACATCTTGTATCAGAGTTCTTAGTTATAAATAATAAAATTCCCTCAAGTTAGTTAAACAGATTGGGTTTATTAAAAGACCTGGGATAGCCATTGAATTGTTGGAAGGGCTAGAGGAACAGGTTCAAGGCCGGGCTTTCAAGACAGTGCCTCAAAACCACACCACGGAAACTGCAGCTGCTGCCACCGCCTAGGCGTGAGGTGCGGGCTTAGGCTGCAGGCCCTGGAGCCCCTTCTCGTGAGCCGTTCATGCCTCGGCTGCTCCCCTCGTCAGCAAGATGTCTGCCCCTTGCTGGGCCTGCTTTTCCTTGTTGCCCACCTCCAAGTCAGAGATATGTGGCCATTTGGCACCTCGGTGACATGCCTGTGCCCAGACTACAAAAGATCCTGGGAAGTAGGTTTAGTGGGCTCTGCCTGAGAAAGGCAGTATTTTTAAATCAGAGCAGTCCCCAAGCATCAGAAGGTTATTTGGCTAAGTCAGTTAGAGAAAGACAAGTATCATATGATCTCACTGGTAGGAGGAATTCCTTAATCTCAGGAAACAAACTGAGGGTTGCTGGAGTGGTGGGGGGTGGGAGGGATGGGGGGGCTAGGTGATGGCCATTGGGGAGGGTATGTGCTATGGTGAGCGCTGCGAATTGTGTAAGACTGATGAATCACAGACCTGTACCTCTGAAACAAATAATACATTTTATGTTTAAAAAAAAAAAAAAGAAGATAGTAGGAAGGGAAAAATGAATGGGGGAAATCGGAGGGGGAGACGAACCATGAGAGACTATGGACTCTGAGAAACAAACTGAGGGTTCTAGAGGGGAGGGGGGTGGGGGGATGGGGGGATGGGTTAGCCCGGTGATGGGTATTAAAGAGGGCACGTATTGCGTGGAGCACTGGGTGTTACGCAAACAATGAATCACAGAACACTACATCAAAAAGTAATGATGTAATGTATGGTGACTAACATAAGAAAATTAAATCTTAAAAAAAAAGGGTATTTCGCATATTACAGACATTCCTGGTGTGTTTCTTTGTGCATGTATAGTTCTTTAACTTGAATATTTAATTGTTATTCTCCCATTAGTCCAGAAATATCCCCAGTTTCTTGTTTTCTGTTTTCATTTTTCTAGGAAAGTGGGTCACAGCAGGTGTCAGATTTGACCCTGAATTTGGATGATTATATCGATTCAGAACACCTGGCTGACTTCCACAGGTACTAAGTGATGACTTTTCCCTGGGAAAAAGGAGAGAAACAATGGAATGGGGTGGAGAAGCCCAGAGAGTCAAGAAAGGTTAATAGAATGATCTTTGTCTCCTGGGCATAGTCACTTCCAGTACTGTGTCATGAAGGCAGTCAGCTACAAAGGAGGGAGCACTGGAGCCGGAGTCCAGACCCTAGGTCCCAGACCTCTAACTTGGACATTTTCTTTCTCTTGACCTCCATGTCCTCATCTGTGAAATGAGGAAGTGGGATTAGATTATCTGCAAGGTCTAAATTCTCTTTTCTGCTCTTAATTTATTTTAAGAGAAGATTCACATGGGAAATGCCACATGAAGTAGAATGATGTAAGCAAGAGTCCATAAGTGCTGCAGTGGCTCCAGGGGAGGGGGGGGTCGGGCCCGTGGGGTCAGTCCCAGTAGGCTCCTGGAGAAAAGGTGTACCTAATCGGGTCTCCACCTCAACTTTTTCTTTTAAGTGGACTTCAGTTTTTAGAGCAGTTTTAGGTTAACAGCAAAATCAAACAACTAGTGCAGAGAGTTCCCATGAACACCTTCCCCTCCAGCCGCCCCCACACAGCCTCCACTATCAGCATCCTGTACATTGGTTGTAATGGAAGTACCTGCATCAGTACACATTCTCACCCAGATTCCATAGTTTACGTTCAGGTTCACTGTTGGCAGTGTGGGAGTATGTTTACCTTTTTTTTTTTTTTTTTAAGATTTTATTTGAGATAGAGCGAGCAAGAGAGCATAAGCGGGGGGGGGGGGGGTTGCAGATGGAGAGGGAGAAGCAGGCTCCCCACTGAGCAGGAAGACCAAAACGATGCTGGGCTTAATCCCAGGACCCTGGGATCATGAGCTGAGCTGAAGGCAGACACTTAACCAACTGAGCCACCCAGGAGCCCCAAGTATGTTTATGTTTGGAAGAACCTGCCATACTGTCTTCCATAGTGGCAGCACCATTTTACATTCCCACCAGCAACATATGAGAGTTCCTGTTGCTCCACATCCTTGTCAGCATTTGGTGTTAGTTTTTCAGATTTGGTCATTCTGATAAGCGTGTAGTAGTATCTTGTTTTAATTTACAGTTCCCAAATGACATACAACTTGGAGCATCTTTTCATATGCTTATTTGCCATCTGCATATCTTCTTAGGCGAGGTGTTTGTTAAGGTCTCTGGCCCATGGTTGGTTTGTTCTCTTACTGTTGAGTTTTAAGAGTTCTCTGTATATTTTGGGTAACAATCTTTTATCGTATATGTGTTTTGCAAGGATTTTCTCCCAGTCTGGCTTATTTTCTCATTCTCTTGACTTTTTATTTTGAAATTTGCTACCCCACAGAAAAGATGGTTTGCAAAAAATAGGAGGTAAATACCCATATACCTATCACTTAGGTTTACCACTTTTTAACATTTTGCCACATTTGCTTAATTTTTCTGTGTCTATTCTGTTTTTGAACCACCTGAGAATTATCTCCAGACTTTGTGAACCTTCACCCCTAAATATTTCAGTGGTATCTCCTTGTTCATACGAGGGCATCCTCCTGTATAACCTTAGGACAGTTCTCACACTCTGGAAATGTAGCGCAGATGCAGGAGTATCACTTAATACACAGTCCATGTTTGATATTTCTGCAGTCATCCTGGAGTGTCCTTTTTAGCTAGTGTTTTGGATTTTTGGTTTGCGGGTTCTTTCTTACCCAACCAAAGATCCCATATCGCATTTATTTTCATGGCTCTTTAATTCCATTTAATCCAGAACAGTTTCCTAGATGTTTGTTTTCCATGGCTTTGGTATTTTTGAAGGTCACTTATCATGTAGAATGTTCAGATTGTTTCCTAGTGATCAGATTTATTAGGTTATTTGCTCATCATTTGATTCAGCCTGAACATTTTTGACAAGAGCATTTCGTAGGTGAGGCTGTGTTCTCTTCAGTGTCTCACATCAGGTGCAGAGGTCTGTCTCGTTGACTCTGTTCAGTTTGATCACTTGGTGGTGTCTGCCAGCTTTCTCTCTAGTAAAGGCATCTGTTTTCCTTTGTGTTTAATAGTGATCTGTGGGATTATACCAGCAGCCCATGAGTACTCTGCTCCTAGCAGTCTTTCATCCAGCAGTCTTGGCATCTATCGATGATTCTCACCTAAGTCTGTTATTACAGAGATGAATGTAAGACAGTAACTTTCTATCTTAATCATTCTTTCTACATTTATCAACATTTTTTTTACAAAAAAAGTTTTCTATTCTTCCTGTCCCCTTTATTTTTATTTTTTAAAATACCAGTGTAGACTTAAAGATTCTTTTGTATCCTAAGTTATGGTCCATTTCTATCGTTCTTTGGATGCTTAAGTTGTTCCAGAGTTGACCAGTGGGAACCCTTTTAGGCTGCCTCCTCTGCCCTTTTGACATGTCCCCATCATTTGTAGAGTGTTTCATACTTTCTAACACAGTAAGATGTTCCAGCCTCACCTTGTACTTTTTTTGCCCCTGCCTTGAAGTCAGCTGGTTTTCTAAGGAGCCATGATTTCTGTTAGTGGGGAATCATATTTAAAAAACAAAATCTGGGCCCTGAATGTGTTCATTAATACTAAGGATGCCATTGCTTCTATGCCCTTTCAGTGAGTGAATAGAGCTTGGAATCTTTTTCCTTAAAGTCTTTTCTTAAATTTTAAACTGATGCTTTCATTTTTAATCTAACACCATCGGATTCTTACTCTTTTATTCTGTACTTTAGCTCTTTTCAACATATGTACTCATTTGTTTGATCCTAAAATACACACATAGTTTCTGACCTGCTACATCAGTATCAACGAAGAATAAATCAACCAAATAAAGTCTCACATACAATTTCTTTCCAATTCTTTTTGTTCAACTCTGTCCCACTGAGGATGTATATAGTCAGGGTATTATGTTCAGAGGGTACTTAGGTGAATGCTTCTTTTTCCACAAGTGTAATGAAATTGTTACATGGTTAGGCCCAATTATTTCCCCTTTATTCCATTATAAGACTTTTTTGCCATCCTCATTGACCTCCTTGATTTAAGAGGAAGCCTGGCATCGGAATAAATTCACAGCCAGAACTGCCTAGAAACCCTGTTGCATTTTATTGTATCTAATTGGGAATAACCATTTTGAACCCACTGCACTCCCCTCAGACTTGCAAACCATCTGCCTCCGTGATTGAGGCCACCCCTTTGTCTCTGCCCCTCTTCCATGCAGTCTTTATGTGAGGAGATCCCTGCTTCTACTCCAGCTCCCCACCCTTCAGCTGATTTCCCACACAGTAGTCGGACCAGCCTTTTTAAAACGTAGTCATGGTTAAAACCCTGGCTTGAAATCCTTCAGTGGTACCACCTCACATACATTAGGATGGCTACTATCAAAAAAACAAAAACAAAAAACAAAATAACAGGTGTTGTCCAGGATGTGGACAGATTGGAATCCTTGTGCACGGTTGGTGAAAATATAAAATGGTGCAGCCACTATGGAAAATAGTGTTGTGGTTCCTCACAAAATTAAATTACCATATGATCCGAGAATTGTGCTTCTGGGCATATACCCAGTAGCATTGAAAGAGGGTCCAGAATAGATATTTGTATACTCACATTTATAGAAGCATTATTCACAATAGCCAGAAGATGGAAGCCATGTAGGTATCCATGAATACCTAGAACAGGTGAATGGATAAACAAAATGTAGTATATATGTACAGTGATATACATACAATGTGGTCTATACCTACAGTTATTCAGCTTTAAAAAGGAAGGAAAAGCTGGACATATGCTTCCACATGGAATAACCTTGAGGACATTATGCTAAGCAAAATAAACTACTCACAAGCAGACAAACACTTTATGATTCCACTTAGATGAGATACCTATAGTAGTCAGATTCATAGAGATAGAAAGTAAAATAGTGGATGACGGGGCTGGGAAAATGGAGAATGGGCAGTTATTATTTACTGGGTACAGAGTTTCAGTTTTGCAAGATGGAGAGTTCAGAAGATGGGTGGTGGTGGTGGTGGTGATTATGCAATAATCTGCATACTTAACACCACTGAGCTATACACTTAACAAATGGTTATGTTGGTAAATTTTATATGTATTTTCCCACAATTAAGAAAAATTTTTTAATCTGAAAAATATTCAGAACCCTCCAGTGAATGTTGTGTGCTCTTAAGATAAAGAACAAAATCCTTGATGAGGCCTAAAGCCTAACCCCTGCAACCCTGTCCCGTACCACTTCCCCCTTAGTTGCTGTGCCTGGGCCATGGGCCACCATGCCCCACCCCCTTGAGATCTCTCCCCCCTGCCTAGAGCGCTCTCCCCGACCTCCTCACACAGTCAACTCCTGTTCTTCCTTCAGTTCCCATTGAAACATCAGTTCCTCAGAGAAGCCTCTCCTGCCCCCGCCACCACGTTTGAGGTTTCTTATCACCGTTTTAAGCATTTAATAAGTGGGTATTTTATGATTAGAGATGGTCTTCCCCACCCTGGCCTGTGATCTCCTTGAGGGCAGGGCCTGGGCCTGGGCCTGTTCTGCATATGGTGGACAGTGGAATGAGTGCAGTGAGGCCAGCCCAGGGAGCAGCCCAAGCTGCTGTTTCGGGTGCTGCCCACTCCAAGACCCCCGCACCCCTAAAGTGGGTAAGGAAAGGACGGAGCCTTTCTCTTGACTTCTTCATTCTGGAATTGTATTGCAAGAGAAGGTGATGAAACCTGTGGAAGAACCCAGGTCCTGTACTAGGCCCAGCATGCTCATTACAGCATTTAGTTCCCTCAGCAGTACTGAGAGAAACGGTGAGTGTCTCCATTTATTTATTTATTTTTTTTAGTACATCTGTTGGGGTTTTGTGCTGGGGGAGTGTTTTATTTTTTTTTTTTTGATGACTGAAATGCGGAACCAGCAGTATTACCTCAGAGTGTTCTGAGAACAAAACGAGATGTCAGCCCAGAGTGCTCAGGGCTGGTGCAGCAGCTCTTAGTAAACATACAGA